GTCGATTATAATAAAGTAGTGAATGAAGATTGTGGTGTATTTCATGAGATGCCTATTTCAACAACAGAGCTATACATAAAAACCGAAAATGTATCAGTTCAATCAATGCCTTTATTAAAAATAATTTTAGGTAATAATAACATTTTATATATGTATATTTATTCATTATTTAAATATTAGAATTAAAATTCAAAATATACTCAATTTTATATCAAGGTCCAGAAAATATTAGTTATACCAAATTTGTTGAGAAAGGATGGAAACAAGAAAGAGATAATGAACGGCCAACAAATTTAATATTAGATGCAAAGGATATTGAATTATATCCTGAAATAGTAAGTCTTTTCTCTTCATAAATATTGATAAAGTATTTTATATATTAATATGTATTAAAATACATAATATTATTTCATAGCTATAGCAATCTTAGAGATGGCAATAAAATTATTGGTTTCGTTTCAGATAAATGAAAATCAGATGTTTTACATTGATCATGAAGAATACGAATTGAAGCCGATTCAAATAAGATTACTCCCACAATCTGTAACAATTTTCTGTCCTGAGTCAAATAGTTAATAATACTTAAAAATAATTTGAAATTATTTTACAGCATTTAATGCTCATATCACAATGAGTTTAGATTATCTAAAAATGGATGGAGAAGGCATGATAAAACATATGTTGAACCAAATTTTATGTAAAAAATTTATTTAATATATCTTCTATAAAAAAAATAATTTATTGGCGGGTACAAAAACTATTTCAATTATAACGGTCGCTAGTTTTTATATAATACATTTTATGCCCTAATATAATATCTAACATAATGCTTATACTAAAAAATTATGTCAGATCATGTCTATTTTACTATCTAACTTACAATCATATCGTTTTAAATGTTGAAAACTATGCAAGATATTATTACGAATAAGTTTTAATATCTCTTTTTACATATTTTATCATGAATCAGCGTAAATATTCTTATCATTTTATAAAGCAGTCTTTTCTTTTTCATTAAACATGCTATATCATGAGCAAATTTAATGACTATATTTCATCTATTTTATATCATTAACCGAGATTTTTTGCTTTTATACTGTAAAATAAAAAAAATTGAAAAAAATATTAAAATTTAATTCGTAAATATCTTATCTGTCGTATCATAAGTTTCACTTATTTTATACTATTAGTGACCAAGATTTTAAAATCCTTCGTCTTTATATTATAAGATAAAAACAAACTGAATCCGAAAAGAATTTCAAAATTCAATTCGTGAATATATATCGTGAATTACCAAATTCTACGTATATTATTTTCAAGTTGGTTGCAAATTATTTTTATTCGAAGATAGATCTTTTTCATTATCTTTACTAATGGCTTTAAAGAAGTTCAACAAAGAAATACTTTTTGTTGTTTTTGTGATTTTTTGGGGTTCAGTTGATCGTGACCTATTGGATCTTCGACTAGGTGTCAATTGAGTCTTCGGACTGCTTGAGACTGATGCAGTCTTCTTTTGTTCATACCTCTCCTTCCTAATTTTCGTCAACCAATCGACATTCTCCTTGTACTTTTGCGGTGATATTTCAAGCAAATGGGGCGCCGTTCCATCTATTACGAAATTTGGCAAGTTTAATGTAGGCGAAAAACTAGCTTCATTCGTGCTCGTGGACTGGCTCGTACTAGGTTCGTCAGAATTGTTATCTCTACTCGTGCTAGGGATCTCGTTACTTGAACTGAACAGCCTTCGCATACCACGATTATCCATGTGAACTCGTTTCGCAACCATCTCGTGGTTTTCATGAATAGGTGATAAAATACATTTAAACTTTCCCTCAGATCTTGATCCCATCATCATTTGCAGATAACTACGTTTGACAGAATTGTGTTTATTTCCATTGTAATCTTCCTTACTAGATTCGGGAGTCGTAACTATAAAGAACGAAAATATTTCTTTAAAAATGCAGAATTTGTCACAAATTTTGAAGAGCTTAAAGAAAAGTTTCTTTTTTAAATTATTCAAAATTTAAAATCACTTTGCGATTCATAGTCTCAGTTTTCCAAACTGAAACTTATTGAATTTGTTATCTTCCATTTATTTGCATATAAACCTCTACAAGTAATAATTTTTATTTACCTGGAGTAAAAATAGATGCCTTGTGTTCGTCTGAACTTGGTGTAGTTTCCTGACAAGTATTCGAGTGTCGAGAACTTGGAGTAGTTTCCAGTTTCATTTTTTCTAAAAAATATCTTTCTACAACTTCAGCTTGGCCGCTTATTGTTACTTCTTTGTTATCTTCTTCATGCTCGGGTCCAACCCTCCATATTTTATGATAAGCATCGTCGGAGCAAGTCACTATCTGAAATGATTCTCAGGATTAGACAAATATCAAACTATCAAATCTAGATTATAATCATTTATATTTTTCAGAATTATATCACGCAGTGAGTCTAAGATAACTATAAATATGCAATCAATACTTTTTAAAAATATTTTTACGATGTATAAAATAAGCTTTTTTTATATTTAGTATTTATAATAATAAACATTAAAATGGAACCTTAGTTTCTCCGGTACTGCACCATGCAATGCAAGTGACTTCGTCTCTATGACCGGAAAGTTTA